AAAAAAAAAGGATGGATCACATTTCCTGTTTTTGTTTTCTCTTTGGTTGTTGTTATATTAAGCTATTTTAAATTGTATCACAGACATTGTGAGTGATACTTTGTAGGGGCTGATTCTGTTTTGTTCCTGCAAAGAGTAGTGCTTTTTCATTTCAGTGGGTAGTTAACTCAGTAAACTCAGACTTCAAACTCTGACTCCCTAGTATTGGGCAGCAATGGAAATTGCTATTGCGTTCTTTTGGCTTTAATTGGACTACTGCATACAAGCTTGGCTCAGGAGTCACTTAGTGACTTACGGAGCATTTGTACCCAGAACTTGAACTCCCCTTTCCGAAAACAGTTTTTCCAGGATTTGTTCTGTCACTTTCACCTGTGTGTTACCTTGATCTCTGTCCTGATGTTTCAGCACAGCAAGACCGTCTGAGTGTTAGCCACCCATATGTTGCAGAACTGGGCCTACCCTCAGGCTAAAATGGACCAAAAGCAGGAACTCATTGGAGTGCTGAATTTCTTTTTTCCAAGTCTTGATCACATTCCAGGATGTCCTACTTTTGGTCATCTGGTGCCTTGAGGATTTTTAGTTTTTTTAAAATATTTTGTTCAGTGTTTATAGTTGCTCTGCACCAAGGAACTTGTTCAATAGGAGCTACTCAACCATTGCCAGAACCTTCTTGAAGTTTCTAGAAATACTGTCTTTTTCTTTTTTTTTTTTTAAAGACAGGGTCTCACTCTGTGCTGTGTCACCCAGGCTGGAGTGCAGTGGTGCAATCTCAAACTCGGTTCACTACAACCTCCACCTCCTGAGTTCAAGTGATTCTCATGCCTCAGCCTCCCAGGTAGTACCTGCCACCACACCGTGCTAATTTTTTGTATTTTTAGTGGAGATGGGGTTGCGCCATGTTGGCCATGCTGGTCTCGAACTCCTAACCTCAGGCAATCCACCCACCTGGGCCTCCCAAAGTGCTAGGATTTACAGGCATGAGCCATTGCACTTGGCCTAAAAACACTGTCTTATTTAAATAAGAAAGATTGTGTCTCAGAATGGAAAGAACACAGCTTTGGCGTCAAACCCAGCTTGGATGCAGAATCTGACTCTTTTTTTTTTTTTTTTTTTTTTTTTTT